ATCCCTCTATCCGCTGTACGGAAAGTACGGAAAATAAATAGTTCACTTGACTGTCACGTGACTGACAATACATGTTGGAAACAGCCAAGTGATCAGCCTTATCGTTGCTGTGTCTCAAGCAGTATAGAGTAACCAGGCCAGTTCCACGAAGAATAACAAGTGTCACACTGGTGGGTATAATATTACACATATAAGTTCGCCGTGACATGTCGGCAGTGACGTGCTAGTTTAGCCTTGGGATACAATCACCGTGAGGCGGACACGTGGAGTTGTGATATTGAGGTTGTCCTTCTACTGGTATGTTTGATTATATACACGTTCTTATTAGATGTACACAGGTATTATATTATGTTCCAATGTTGTTGTTTGTTTCAGGTGAACACTTGACCTGACCTTGCATGTGTTTGTCACAGGTGCCACCAATGGGACAAGATAAGCTCACCTTTTGGTGAACACCTGGCATCATGGCTATAAATACAGGCTGATGATGACGCTGAACCCGGACACACTGCTATGGCTCGCTTGTTTCGCCTCGTGTATGCCGCGTGGTCTGTTTGTAATACATGTAGTTTTCTAAAAGATCGATGGGTCTTATGAATAATTGTAGGTGCATATTTTTATTGTTCCAAGCTATTTTTATGTCGTGTGATATTTGATGTACTTTGTTGTTATAGATTTATTGAAACTCTGCCATCACTGATATTTTGTAGAGAAGTTTAAGGCAGTAATGAGAGAGAGAGGAGTGTGGTTACTCAGTACGTTCACTGTACATTCAGCTGGGCGACAATGTAGCCTCAGTAGGCTGCTGTGCTCATTTGCTGTGTAAAGACCTTGTTTACTGTATGTAATGGAGGTAACTGCTCTGTAGTAAACAAAACATTGGTATGTTGACCATTTGGGAAAGAGATGTATCAGACTTCAGCTAAATGACAGCTTCACAACTGGTAGATCATATACTGAGAGTAAATTGGCACATACACAACTGCATGTATACCATTTCCTATATATTAGACTGAATAAACTAAAACAAACAGATTTTTAAAAACCAATTTTGTGACATTTTCCACACTCAAATCTTTGTTTTTCCTCTTGTGGTTTACCCTACAATCTGCAACACAACATAAAACACTTTAACGTGACCACGGTTTGGTCTTAGGTCTAATGTGTTATTTACAGTAGTCATAATATATTTGGAATTTGTTGAAACGTTTCTTTAAACAGATTGACACTAATATAGTCTTAGGTGATAATAATTGTGATCCTGAACTGAATCCCGGGCATAGACCCCATATACAAGCTGCGTTGTAGCATCTGTAGGCGTAAATCTTGGACAGAATCAATAATATGTTGCAAGATGCGCAAAATGGTTTCCGGAGAAAAAGGTCCGCCACAGATCATATTCAAATGCTTTCTTCCATAGCAGGTAAAACTACGGAGAAATCAACATTCTTATTCGTTTCCTTTATTGATTTTAAGAAAGCATAAGCAGAACTATTTTACTGGACAGAGGGGCAATATATTGCGATTCAGGAACCCGTTTTGCTGTATGTATTGAGATATATTGGGAACTTAAGTTTCGACAGTAAGTGACACTAATTGTACATGTCGATCCGATTTTCTACATTTTAAGTCCCTAAACGTACATGGTCATGGTTCCGATAACAACAATCTCAAAATTAGATAGCATAGTCATGGATTCTATTTTCTTTCTATACAATTCATTGTATTACAGTATGCTGTTTTGTAATGTAACAACGGAGGAAAACATTTGTTGTGAATGAAGGTCTGTGTAGATAAATGTTCTTTACCCAATATACAGCAGAAATATTGCAATACTATATATTGTATATTGTATCCCTTGAAAAGCATCTTGTGATATACCGGTGTACCGGTAATACCGTGCAGTCCTAGAGTAGGGTGATACATAAATAGAAAGTTGTCAGTCAGTCGCTATCTCAGTCATTTTATTCTGTTAATTTAATTTCTGTAAGGTTATCTGATGTGCGAAAAGACTTCGGTTACTTTCTTGCATAGCTTTCGCTCTCTCTGTACAGTATTGCACATGAGCCGTAAAGCCTGGTGCGGCTATTCTATGTTAAACATCTAAATTTCCAATTGGAAAATGTTTCTTCAGACATTTCAACGCCAAAACGCTGGGATGTGGTGGAAATACTTATTGCTTGTGACCTTGACCCTGTGTGTCATTAGTGACGGTATCTCGGTTAGGGACTCGAACTCGGGACCAAGAAGGGCCAGACTGACGCAACTTGACTATCGGAGAGGTATGTTTACTGAAGATGGGAGCCATTCAGAACATCAGTGGGGAGAGGTTACCTGCGTGTTAAATTTGCGTACATTAAACATTGTTTTTGGTGTTGTGAATTCTGTAAATTGTAATTGAGATAAACTCTGATAGTCTGGTGGGTTAAACATACATGACAACGACCTTTGTAAGTATAAAAGTATTAGTTTACCCATTATAGAGGGGCGGTTGGCCTAGTGGGTAAAGTGTTTGCTCGTCACTCCGAAGACCGGGGTTCTATTCCCAAATGGCGTAAAACTAATTTCACTCTCTATATTCATTTCAGACTTCACAATTGGACCTGATGAAAGAGGTAATGCCTTTTGTTTTATGCTTTATTTGCTCGCAGACAAGGGATTTAAGATCGCTGTTTGATAAAATAAAATGAACGTACGTTTGTTTGAGTGTTGTATTACTCAGATTATTACCAGATAGCCAGTAGTCGTAGTGACGCGGGTGTTTTATGTGAAAATTGTTATACATGAGAACTTAGAATAAATCTGCCTCAGAGAAAGGTTTATTGCAAATTGCAACAAAGATTATACGGAAAATGAAAAACAAGTTCATTGAGTTAATTTGCTCATGGCTTACGTGGCTAAACATTTGTTGTTTAAATATGACTTAAAGACCATACAATCAGTTTTACACAAATAATGACATTCTGTAATTTTTTAGTCAAAAAAAAAACCGATAACAAATTCAAAAATATTTGAAACAGAAATTAGTTTTGAACCGTACAGAGCTCCTGTAAATATGTAATTTGCACCGCTCAGCATCGTCTCTAAAACTGTCTGGATAAAAAGGAACATGTAGTCATTGACAATGTAAATGTTTTGTAATGATTTTCATGTAATATCATTCTGATGTAATTTGTTTAAAGAGTGAAGAATAACAAGGTTTCTTGCGTTAAGTTATTCATATGATTGTTTCTGTGTGTTATTGCGGATTCTGGCAGAATGGTGCATTTCACAGAATTACAAGAAAACTAAATATGTTATTATGTTATTAGATCATTTATCATTCTTCTATCCATGTGTTCATATGGGTTACTTTTATATCTTTCAGACTTCTCGTTTCTGAGCAATTCTCAGAGATATGGGTAAGGCAAATGATGACGCACTTCACTGTACAGCTGAGATAAATGTGTGGAGAGAGTGAAAGATATCAGGGATGTTTTTGTGTGTGTGAGAAAGAAACAGAGAGGGAGAATTTTGTGTGCGCGTGTGTGTGAGGGAGAGAGTGTGTGAGAGAGAGAGAGAAGGGGGAGAAAGGATTCATCCTACGTACAGATGTCAACGCATCGTTGCATAATAACATAACAAACTAGATACACTGTGGTCATAGCACTTGCAGTTACTTTGATACGAGAACTTGGACCTGTTCACAATAATACACACGTTAGTAAGTATCGTTTAGCCTTAGTCAAAGATTTAGTATTCTTCGTTTCTTTCAGATATACAGATTCCAGTTGACCCACGGATACCAAGTAAGACAATTCTTGTTTTCTTTCACATGACGTTCATAACTGCTTTAACTGAGAGTTGTAAGATTAAAGGGTAAATTGATCCGGGTTAGAACTGGTTTAGAGCACCCCACGATTGTTATATGATATGAGGGAAACATGGCCCGGGTTAGAACTGGTTTTCAGACACCATCGATTGTTATATGATATAAGGGGAACTTGATCCGGGTTAGAACTGGTTTTCAGACACCTTCGATTGTCATATGATATTAAGGGACCTTGATCCGGGTTAGAACTGGTTTTCAGCCACCCACGATTTTTATATGATATAAGGGGAACTTGATAACCTGTGAAGATCCAGTTTAATACCGATGATTGTCGGTGAAATAAGTGGATGAGGTGGTCAGATTGATGCAAGTCGTAGTGTCCCATTTGCGTAGATCGATGCTCATGATGACAATCACTAGTCCAGACTCAGTTATTCCCTCATGTCTACCCTATATTGCCGGTAGAGCAGGTCATGTCTACCCTACATTGCCGGTAGAGCAGGACATGTCTACCCCTATATTGCCGGTAGAGCAGGTCAGCAGGACATGCCCTATATTGCCCTCATATTGCCGGTAGAGCAGTCATGTCTACCCTATATTGCCGGTAGGCACATGTCTACCCTATATTGCGAACACCTGGCATCGACACTAACCTTCACAGATCCATTGTTGTAACTGTCATCACTGTTTTGCCCCGATGAAATGGGAATGATATAGACGTAACATACACCTGTTCGCTGCACCTCAAATTACATATGACATGTCGGAGGGGATGGACAACCACAACAGTTTCAAATATGACAGACCCGTGAAGATCCGGGTTAGAATTGATCTTCAGTAACCCATGCTTGTCGTAAGAGGCGACTAACGGGATCAGGTGGTCAGGCTCGCTGGCTTTGTTGACACATGTCATTTGTTCCCAATTGCGCAGATCGATGCTCTTGCTGTTGATCCCTGGATTGTCTGGTCCAGACTCGATTATTTACAGACCGCCGCCATATAGCTGGAATATTGTTGAGTGCGGCGTAGAACTTAACTCACCACTCACTCACTCACTCAAATATGACAGTGTGACTCTCTGTGATTTTAAAGCCATTACTTGTCCTCTGCGGTTACTTCCAAAACCTGTACTCGGATCACTCATCGGATTATTTGTGTATTGTTTTAACTCCACACTCCAGCAATATTCCAGCAATATAATCGAGTCTGGACCATACAATCCAGTGATCAACAGCATGAGCATAGGTCCACGCAACTGGGATACGATGTCAGTGAGTCTGACCATCCGATCCCGTTAATCGCCTCTTCCGACAAGCATGGGTTGCTGAAGATTATTTTAATAGGGATATTAACTAGTTACCATGTAGAGCTGTTAAATATATACTAGCCACATAAAGAAACTGTGCATTGTCAAAATATTATCCCAGTTGATAAGTACGATAACCATGTCAAAGGTACATAAAACTTTAATGGAGGGATCATGAGACCATAACAAGTCGGGAGATTTCAATTGAAAAGTCAATCACAATGATGTCACGAGTCTACAAGCGGGACAGGGGTCAAACGACCATATCACAAGCTCAATAACGGGTATGTCCACCATCGGCATTGAGAACAGCAGTGCATCGACGACGCATAGAGCCTATCAAACGTGCAAGGAAGGCTTGTGGGATGTCACGCCAGATTCTCTCAAGTTCTGTTGCAAGGTCAAGGACGTTATCTGGCGGATGAGGAAGACGGCGTAGACGTCGATCCATCTCGTCCCAAACATACTCTATCGGGAGAGATCCGGTGAATATGCAGGCCAAGGCAGTAAGTCAACGTTGTGGTGTTGCAAGAAATCCATAGCAACCCTTGCCGTATGAGGGCGGGCATTGTCCTGTTGGAATGTTAACCCAGGGCCATGACGTTGCAGAAAAGGAATTGCCACAGGTCGAAGAATTTGATCCCTGTAGCCCACACCAGTTAAGTTGCCCTGAACAATCACCAAAGGAGTTCTTTGGCGTGCTGTTATTCCACCCCAAATCATCACGGAACCGCCATCAAAGCGATTCCTCTCCAAGACACAGGCCTGTGCATAACGTTCTCCCACGCGTCTATGGGCACGTTGACGTCCATCACTATGGGAAATGTTAAACCTGGACTCATCTGTAAAAACAACATTTCTCCACCAAAACAAGGGTCTGCAGACATGATTTCGGCACCACATTCGGCGAGCTTGTCGATGACGTTGTGTCAGGATAGGCCGTATGGCGGGACATCGTGGTCTGATCCCGTGATGACGTAAACGTTGTCGAACTGTGTTGGGGTGGATACGGCGAAGTCCTGGGATGGTTCGGGCAGTCATCACTGCAGTCTGAAACCTGTGGCGAAGATGGGTCACCCCTTATCCATCTGTCCTGTCTTGGCGTTGTTACACGTGGACGTCCAGAACGTGGCCGATCGATGACGTCATTTGTGTTCTGGTAGCGTCTCACCAGTGCAGAAATGGTGTTCCGGTGGCAGTGGAAATGTGCAGCCACTTGTCGTTGAGACATTCCCCCACGGACCATCCCAATGGCCTCATGACGTTGTGCAGACGTGAGCCTTGGCATGCTATGCGTTTCAATAGCCGTTTAATTTTTTGAACGATCGCAAGGGCAGGGGTTGAGCTTTCCAAAGTGACAGTATTGTGTGGCATTCATTTGCTCTGTTTCTCTCCCCGGAATGCACGTGCAACAACGTATTGCACCTCTCAAGGACGAACCCGCTGACGTCACGGAACGTGGCACGTGCATGCATGTTGGATACATGTCACTAATCTCTGAGTTTAAATCCTTATGTGTCTACACAGGTTTGATAAATTTAGATTTTAAATTTTGTATGCACAGTTTCTTTATGTGCCTAGTATATATTAATCGCCTAATCACCTCGATATGCGTTATTAATTTAATGATGATAATAAAACAGGTCTTAGCCAAAGTGAGCCCCATCCTGCTGTCACAGATGTGCGCATACTGTCGTCAACAAGGGAACCAGCCGTGTATCGACCGAATTTGTTCCAGGACAACAGTAGAGAGGGGCAGTGCGGTAGCCTAGTGGTTAAAGTGTCCCTCGTCACACTGAACACCCGGGTTCAATTCCCTACATGGGTACAATGTGTGAAGCCCATTTCTGGTGTCCCCGCCGTGATATTGCTGGAACACTGCTTAAAGCTCACTCACTCACAACAGTAGATAGAAGGAGCAGTACAATGATTGTACTCACGCAAAGGAATGAGTTTCAGTAACGATGTTCCACCTATATCATGGCTCGCGATATCAATGTAGGAAGTTGCTATGATGATGTCCCCTCCCTGGTAATGCTGCAATACTGCACAGCGTAGAAACTTACTCACTTATTCACTCGTTCAACATTCAGGATGAAGTAATATCAATGGATCTCCAGTTGAGATCCTGGGCGATTTTGTGTATTTTATTTAACGAACTTTCACATATAGTGTACATTTCTGTCATATCATATGGACTAAATATCGGGGCTGGAATATAATGCCAGTAAATGGAAACCTTCTTTGAGTAAAGCATAGAAATTGTAACTAACTGTGGTGTTCAGTGACACAGCTAGTATATATGGTATATATGTATAACTCCTTTGTGTACAAGATTAATACCTGTTTGCTCTGACACTATTGGATGGTTGTAGTGTATTGTAAACTGTTTGCTAATAAAAACAATTGTTTGGGGGACATTTTGTTCAGTGGTTCATATCGTGGGAGGAGGTAGTTGTGAGACCTCCTGGATGGTCAAGTTGATAGTGTGTGTGCCGGCACAGCATGTGGTTGCTTCTTCGATACCGTTCGCGTCAGAAAAATGACGTAGAAGAATGTAGTTGCAATAGCTGTTCCTATATACGAAAACATACATCCATACTATCCAGGTGCAACATAACGGGACATAAATATTTTGGGAGCTGGTTTCAATGCATTACAAATTGTGTACAAGGCTGAATAGTTGTGTACAAGTTTGGTCGGTTGTGTACAATGTGGGATGGTTGTGCACAAGGTTGAATGACTGTGTACAAGGTTGAATGACTGTGTACAGGGTTCAAGGGTTGTGTACAAGGTTGAATGACTGTACAAGGTTGAATGATTGTGTACAATGTGGGATTGGTATGTACAAGGTTGAATGATATGTACAAGGTTGAATGGTTCTGTACAAGGTTGTGTGGTTGTGTACAAGGTTGAATGGATGTGTACAACGTTGAATGGTTCTGTACAAGGTTGTGTGGTTTGTACAAGGTTGAATGGATGTGTACAAGGTTGAATGGTTCTGTACAAGGTTGTGTGGTTGTGTACAAGGTTGAATGGATGTGTACAAGGTTGAATGGTTCTGTACAAGGTTGTGTGGTTGTGTACAAGGTTGAATGGATGTGTACAACGTTGAATGGTTCTGTACAAGGTTGTGTGGTTGTGTACAAGGTTGAATGGATGTGTACAACGTTGAATGGTTCTGTACAAGGTTGTGTGGTTGTGTACAAGGTTGGACTGTTGTGTAAAATGTGGAATGGTTGTGCACAATGTTGAATGACTGTACAAGGTTGAATGGTTGTGTACAATGTGGGATGTCGTGTACAAGGTTGAGTGGTGTACAGGCTTGAATGGTTGTGTACAAGGTTGAATGGACGTGTACAAGGTTGAATGTATGTGTACAAGGTTGAACGGCTGTGTATGAGGTTGAATGGTTGTGTACAAGGTTGAATGGTTGTGTACAGGGTTGAATGGTTGTGTACAAGTTTGGATGGTTATTTAACGAACTTTCACATATGGTGTACATTTCTGTTATATCATATGGACTAAATATCAGGGCTGGAATATAATGCCAGTAAATGGAAACCTTCTTTTGAGTAAAGCATAGAAATTGTAACTAACTGTGGTGTTCAGTGACACAGCTAGTATATATGGTATATATGTATAACTCCTTTGTGTACAAGATTAATACCTGTTTGTCCTGACACTATTGGATGGTTGTAGTGTATGGTAAACTGTTTGCTAATAAAACAATTGTTTTGGGGACATTTTGTTCAGTGGTTGAATGGTTGTGTACAATGTGGGATGTCGTGTACAAGGTTGAGTGGTTGTGTACAGGCTTGAATGGTTGTGTACAAGGTTGAATGGACGTGTGTAAGGTTGAATGTATGTGTACAAGGTTGAACGGCTGTGTATAAGGTTGAACGGCTGTGTACAAGGTTGAATGGTTGTGTACAAGGTTGAATGGTTGTGTACAGGGTTGAATGGTTGTGTACAAGTTTGGATGGTTGTGTACAAGGTTGAGTGGTTGTGTACAGGGTTGAATGGTTGTGTACAAGGTTGAATGGTTGTGTACAGGGTTGAGTGGTTGTGTACAGGGTTGAATGGTTGTGTACAAGTTTGGATGGTTGTGTTGAAGGTTGAATGGTTTGTTTTGGACAAGGTTACAAGGTTGAATGGTTGTGTACAAAGTGGGATGGCTGTTAACAAGGCGGGATTGGTGTGTGCAGAGAAAGTATTCTAGGAATGTCGTCACGACTTCTCGCTGGTGATGTTGATAGCCCATGACACACATTACATTTTATATCCGGCCTCTGAGAAACCTGTCACACACATGGATGTTGACAGCAACTGCCACACCTGTCACTGGCGAACATTAACAACTCTCACGCTCTGGTGGATACTATTACACATGCAAGTTGAGCACGGTAGGTCTGTGTTTGACACGTTAGACTATCCGGAGTGTATGGACTCATTAGAGTGACTCATTACTGTGAAGGACTCGTGGATAACATTTGATGTTATCCTTCTGAACACGGTGAGTTTAACTAGAAAGACATGTTTAGATTCGTTCATTAGCAAATCATTGTCTCTATTTTCAGTTGAAGGTTTACTGAAGTTTCGCGAGCTGAGATTACTTAACGTTGTTGTTTGCAATGGAACATTACTGTGATCAGAATTTTAGGCAGCGACTAATGGGTTGGTGCTTTTTTCTGGTGTTTTCTTCATTTTCTCAATTACTGTATTCATTTACGCTTTACTATCGTAATCCTCTCTTTTACTCTATCCATTTACGCGCTTTACTACCGTAATCCTCTCTTTTACTCTATCCATTTACGCTTTACTACCGTAATCTCTCTTTTACTCTATCCATTTACGCTTTAACGTAATCCTCTCTTTTAGTCCATTTTACGCTTTACTATCGTAGTCCTCTTTTACTCTATCCATTTACGCTTTACTATCGTAATCCTCTCTTTACTCTATCCATTTACGCTTTACTATCGTAGTCCCCTCTCTATTTTACTCTATCCATTTACGCTTTACTATCGTAGTCCTCTCTTTTACTCTATCCATTTACGCTTTACTATCGTAGTCCTCGCTTTACTCTCGTCATACGCTTTACTCTCTTTTACTCTATCCATTTACGCTTTACTATCGTAGTCCTCTCTTTTACTCTATCCACGCTTTTACGAGTGACTCTTTTAGTGACAAGTTTATTCTGTGATAAGGCCTCATGGCCAAAAGCACATGAAAGTACATTTTAATATCGTATGCGTGACAGCTCAAGCTAACAGATTTCGTTTCAAGTATATGGACAGATTTTTATATGTTCGGGATTGTTAGACGTTAACAGTTGATACCTTTGTAGGACACGTGAAATAATAAGGAGAGATTAGTTGCTCTCTTAGATGCTTATAATATGGACAAACTAATACAAAGTGATACTCATCTTCTACACCACTCATAGTACAATTAGAGCATAAAAGTTGGTCTGTATCAATATTATTATCGTACCTTTTAATTTACAAATCTTTAATTTGTGTGACTGGAATCTAAATTTACAAAATATTCGTAATAAATCTTTATGACTAAACAGTTCTACGACATATCGTTCAGAGTCTAGCAAAGATTTAACGCTAGAATAAAAGGAGAAATCACTCCTTCCCGATAGCCTACCATGCCAATCCCTGAACTGTATATCCTTGCAGCGTGTCGAAAAGGTATGCATGAATATATCATAATTGCCAAAATCCTGTGATATCCAAACATAATGTAAGACTTGGGTAATTGCTGTGGTTGCGAAACAATTACGTCTCACGGGAAAAGGGATGGGCAAGTGTGTCTATTGCGCGAAGTGCTCCAGTCAAAGATGACACAACACAAAAAGACAGTAATAATATGTATTAAAATAGAAGGTCTTGGTTACAGAGATGCAAGTTCCGACTGCACAGTCAAGGTGAAACCTAAAAACAAGTTGGCTTGTTGTCACCTCGACAGTGCAGGCAGAAAGAGCCATTGTACAGATACAATTATGAAAATCAACAATAATCCGACTGATATATAGGATGTGACGACAATACTTATTAGGGGAAACAATATTATTAAAGAACAAATAAAAACAATATTGGTACAAAAGCATATGTGCATATATGAGCACACAATCCCAAAGAGTATTTACATAAATAACTTTAATTATATAACCCGAGAGAATCGTCACACCCCTCCTATCAGAGGATATACATAGGGCCCCACCTGAGGTGAGGTGACAGTCACATTAACTTTAAGGGCCAATGGGAAATATAAAAATACATATATATACACAAAGTGGGGCAATATTTATACCCAACAAATTTGGAATATATGATACAGAAAACCGGTTTTGATTGATATAAACAATAGCCACGACAGGACACCTGGCCTGTACGACACATGGGGCTAAGGGAAATGGGGTATAACTGCCTGTTGGATGATCATACTAGTCAATATGAGGCTAGCTCCAACAGAATGTCGATACACCCAGTAGGTAAACCACTTGTGGCTAACAAGAATGAACACTTAATTATAGTAAGTAAATTGATAATATGTAATAAACGGATATTACATGATTTATATTACTACAATTTGTAGTATATTATTGGCTTTATAATATAATACATTATATTATTATTGAATAAACTGTGACTTCAACATCAACGGCTAGGGAAACATACTAAAACATGATTGATGTAACAACATGTGTAGAAAGATTACGTTTGATTGCGTAACGCCAGACGCGAAGAGAACGAGAAAATAATCTTGTTCAGAAAATAAACAAAGTTTTGAGATGACAATAATATTCAAATGCTGAATGATTATGCTGTGAATATGCGATTACCCATCAGTAGCACTTTACAGATATACTGGATAAAGTGACATGAGATCATAGTAGGCTTTTGCTGTGTTAAGATAAACATGAAGCAGACGACGGACCCTAGTTTTGTTTACATCCGGTGCAGCCATTTTGTAATGAAGCCGGACGGGAGCCGAAGAATGCCGAGGAGAGCCGAAGACAGCCAAGGCTGTGTGCTGCTCAGTGGAGAGGTCAGCACTGGTCAGTGAGCATGATCGCCACTAATTGGTTCCAGATGATACCGTGATACTCTAACTGAGCACATGGTTTGGAAACCGGGACAGTGATACAGCCACTTTTTAATTTAGAATAAAATGGCAAAAGAGTTCTGTTGTTAACAGCAACAAGTTGTAAATAAATGGAATTTTGAATTTAGCAATGAGCTAGAGACAATTTTGACTGGCAGGTCAAATAAGCAAATTAATGCTAAACACACAAAGTACTTTACTAAAATGAATTTCTAGGTGAAAATATATTACAATGAGTACATGTCATTTATTCTTGCCATCGAGTGCACGTTTGGGCAGTCACAGATGAGTGACCTTTCGCC